CGTGGAGTCTGGTCCACCCAACCCGCAAACTCCCGCTCCCGCCTCTCCTTCTGTTTTCGCGAAACGACGCTTCCGATCGTGAAGGGTCACACATTTTCACAAATAACTACTCCCTCATTTCTTTTTTGCGAAGAGAAGCATCCCTGCGCCAAATCGTTCCCGCTTCCTCTATTTCGTGAAGAGAAGCATCCCTTCGCTTCCTTCTCTTCGTGATAAAAGGAGAGGCTCTCCTTCATATCTGTAAGTCACAAGAAGTCACGATTTTCTTCTTTAGGTTTCCTCGGGATAGAGGAAGAGTTCTTCGGGTTTCCACGGGACAGTGGAACAGAAGAAGTGCAAGGAGTAGTTTCTTGCGGCAGAAGGAAGAAGAAGGAAGAAAAAGAAGATTGTTCTCCCTAGGCTTTTTCTTGGTGGCTTGTGGCAGAGGAGAAATTGAATTTATTTCTCTTGTAAGTTTGTCTTCTTTTTCGGTGTATCTCAGTGTAGAAAGAGAAGAACAGAGAGAGCAACGAAGAGTGAGAGATTCCTTTTGTAAGTCGTGGTGATCGACCGGTGTAAATGCCTAAATTAGTAAAATCCTCTGCAACTCCATGGATGTAGGCAATTTGCCGAACCACGTAAATCTGTGTGTTCTTTTGGTGTGAATTTTCTCGTGCTATTTTATTCGCTTCGTCGTTGATCGTTTTAAATTTCAAATATACAACAACAACTGGTATCAGAGCTTTGTTCAGATCTGAGGAAGAATGATGGTTGCAGATGAAGTAAAAGTTTCAGGGATCGAGAAGTTTGATGACACAGATTTTGGTTATTGGAGAATGCAGATAGAGAATTATCTTTATGGGAAAAAACTTGATCTTCCGTTATTGGGGAAAAGACCTGAAAGAATGGATGAGGCTGAATGAAATTTGTTGGATCGACAAATTCTGGGGGTTATTGGATTGACTCTATCGAGGTCTGTTGCACACTTCGTCGTCAAGGAAAGGACGACTGTAGATCTCATGGCAGCCTTATCAGGTATGCATGAAAAGCCATCGGCGAATAACAAGGTGCATTGGATGAAGAAGTTAATCAATTTGAAGATGGCAGAAGGTGTTTTTGTTGCTCAACACCTGAATATTTTCAATACTATCACAAATCAATTATCGTCTGTGGAAATTGATTTTGATGATGAGATATGTGCACTGATCTTGTTGGCTTCATTGTCAGATAGTTGAGAAGTCATAATGATAGCAGTTAGCAATTCTACAGGTAAATATAAACTGAAATACGATGATATTCGTGATTTGATTTTGACTGAGGAAGTTTGCAGGAAAGATTCTGGCGAGGTCTTAGGTTCGAGTTCGGCTCGGTATTGAATGTTGATTTCAGAGGGAGATGGTATGATAGGAACTCAAGGATAGAGAGATCAAAATCAAAGTTTAGTAAGCAGACAACCTGTTGGAATTGTGGCAAGGCTGACCACATAAAGAAGAACTGCAGGAGTCCTAAGAAGATGGAGAATGATAGCGCAAATGTGACATCTGAGAATCACATGATGCATTTTTGTTGGCAGTTCATAGTTTTGTTGAAGACTTGATGTTGGATTCAAGGGCTTTGAATGTGGTAGAAAATCTACCAAAGAAAATCTACCAAAGGCCAGTGCAGGACAGTGATGGAAGTGAAGAAGAGAGTGGGTCCGGGACACCCATTCCTATTGTTCCACAGACAGATGTTACAAAACCACATAAATATGAAGAAATCTTGCAAGATGAAAATTTGAGCAAGTAGGAGCTGGCAGAAGTTTCACCAGGAAAGAAGACATTGCACAACAAATGGGTGTACCAGATAAATACTGAGCGTGATGTCAGTAACAGGTACAAGGTTAAACTTGTTGGAAAAGACTTTCAACAGAGACAAAATATTACCCATGTAGTGGGAGTTGTAAAAAGAGACAAGAGTGACCCACAAAATAGTTTGGAGGTGCAAAACTATGTGGAGTATGTTGATGAGGGTGTTACTCTTGAGAAACTGAAGTTATGCACAGCTTCAATTAGTCTTCTAGAGTGAAGACTGTGGCTTTGAGTTGCAGAGGTGGATGATACACATGTGGAGGATTCAAGGTAGAGGATTCATGGTGGAGGATTCATGTTTGAAGTAAAGGACGACACTATCAGTGAAGGATTCAGTTCGAGAAAGGAGACGTTGTAGCAGGTGTACCGATCTCCAAGTGGGAGATTGTTAGCGCTGGTGTGGAGTCCGGTCCACCCAACCCGCGAACTCCCGCTCCCGCCCCTCCATCTGCACGACGCTTCCGATCGTGAAGGGTCACACCTTTTCACAATAACCACTCCCTTCTTTTTTTTTGCGAAGAGAAGCATCTCTTCGCCAGAAACAATTCCCGCTTCCTCTATTTCGCGAAGAGAAGCATCCCTTTGCTTTCTTCTCTTCGTGATAAATGGAGAGGCTCTCCTTCATATCTGTAAGTCACAAGAAGTCACGATTTTCTTCTTTAGGTTTCATCGGGATAGAGGAAGAGTTCTTTGGGTTTCCACGGGACAGTGGAAGAGATGAAGTGCAAGGAGGAGTAATTTCTTGCGGCAGAAGGAAGAAAAAGGAAGAAGAAGAAGATTGTTCTCCTTAGGCTTCTTCTTGGTGGCTTATGGCAGAAGAGAAATTGAGTTTATTTCTCTTATAAGTTTGTCTTCTTTTTCGGTGTATCTGGTGTAGAGAGAAAAAAACAGAGAGAGCAACGAAGAGTGAGAGATTCCTCTTGTAAGTCGAGGTGATCGACTGGTGTAAATTCCTAAATTAGTAAAATCCTCTGCAACCCCATGGATGTAGGCAATTTGCCGAACCACGTAAATCTGTGTGTTCTTTCGGTGTGAATTTTCTCGTGCTATTTTATTCGCTTCGTCGTCGATCGTTTTAAATTTCAAATATACAACAACAGAACATGCCTAAAAGAGACACCACACTCAAAGAATTGGGACAGGAATCATGATCAGCCATTTAAAGCACAAGTTGCTTCAATTCATTGAAAGAAATATTTTTTGCGGCCCTTGTTTAAAACCATTCCAAACCTAAAGACACCGACTTTCACCAACTAATATTAAATAAGTGTTGTGTTCAAAAACATTTTGGCATTCACCTCAATTAATAATTTGTGAATCCTCTTTCTTGAGAAGATAACTGACCATCTTTCCCCATCTCTCTCTTGTCACAATAGAACAGCTCCCCAACTGGTGCGAGTGTAATTCAATCTACCTATACTTACAAGATATCACACAAATCTCTGAACTCGAGTCGAGTTATTCTAAAGAGGAAGGGAACTGATGCAGTTCCTCTCCTTAGTTTTATATTTAGTACTTAGTAGTTATTAATAGACCTTTAATAGTGGCTTATCAAAATTTAAGCATTAGTTAGTTCATTCAAGTAATCATGTTTTTCTTTTTGGTTATACTCGGTAGTGGGAATATAATTATTCCACCAATTAAGATGGAGAGGAACTTTTTGTATTTTTCTAAGCTTGAACTTAAACATAAAGTCTTTTAGTTTTTTTAGTTCCTGTCTCGTCTACCTTCCTTTGTTTTGTTGATTTGGGTGTTGCACTAGCTTGCTAGAAATCTAGGATTATTTATCCTTATTTATTATAAAGATTCACTCAATTCTTATGTATTTACATATCATAAACCTAAACTTCAATTTTTACATATATGTGTTACTATGTAGAGCCTGAATTGGACACTCAAAGCTCTCAATTTCATCAAACAAACTTGACGGTGAGTTTGTCAGGGGGGTGACCCCCTTTTTATTGGGTTGGGGGGTGTTACCCCCAAAATTTTTTGTTGTCATACCTAGTGCCCTAGTGCCCAGAGTATAACGCCGCAACTCCTAATGCATGTTCAAAACCTGAGAGCACGACACTTCAATGCCTGAAGGGGAGCATCGCATCGCCTACATGTAGCACCCTAATGCCAAGTCCAACAACACCGCAATGCCTAGTCCAAATTCAAAACCAAAAAACACAACACTGCTACACACTTGATGTAGCGCCTCATTGCTAATTGGAGCGCCGCAATTCCATATTGCGGTGCCTTGAGGCCCATAAGTGATTTGCGAGAAGTTCTTACGTATTGTGTTATCTTTGTTGATGGAGGATTGTTGAATTTCAAGTTTTATATTGTGCAAAAGAGAGACGAAGCATCCTAAAGTGCTCCAAAGTATGGAGAGGCTTGAGTTTGGTGTAATTTGTACGATTCTCTTCATAGTGGATTTCTTGTTGTTGTGCGACTCCATAGTTTTTTTCTGCTTTCGGGTTTTCATGTTAAACCTTATATTTTTTGTTATTTTCTTGTTTTGTGCACTTTTATTTATAGTTTTCCTTTAGATCTCTCGAATCTATTTCTTTGAATTATTCACATCTCTCACAACAATATGTCACAATAACTATGCATGAAAAAGATGTATTTCACTTTTTTAAAAGTCAAAATAGTTGTATTGTAGATGTGATATGAAAGATTTGGGAGGTATAAACTTAAAAAGCCAAATAGGTGTTAGATAAGTAAATATATAAGAATTGTGTGGTATGTATGTAAATGCCCATATTTACTAAAAACCATAGTCTTTCTTAAGAAAAACTAACAAATTATACAAAAGTAATGGTTTCTTTTTCACATTATCACTCATTGTAAAGTTTCTTCTCAAACATGAAGACCGAAAAAAGGCTCCTAGGATACAGCTATTCCATTACGTTCCACTAAAACAAACCATACAAAGCTCAAAATAATCTTACATGTACCGTTCAGTTTCTTCATTATATAACTACTGCAATAAGAAAAATGATAAACCACATAAGATGCCCCCATACCTCTTGGTTCTGAACAGGAAGAGGACACATAGCTTCAGACAAGCACAAATACTAGCTATCATATTCTCCTCTTAAACCATCCATTAGAATTGCTGAAACCAAAATTGCTATCTTGGAGCTCGATAAAACTAACGGAACAACATGAAATGATTACCTTATAGAATAATGATGCGATTTGGGATCTTAATCCACCACATCATCAACAACAGGCTTCTCCTTATGCTGCACATACTGATGCAGTATAGCAAGTCTCGCAGTCTCGAAGGCAAAGTATCCAATTGCGGAAAAGCATGCGCTGTGAAGAACCCTAGGTCCGATTCCCCTTGCCAGCCCCGCCCACCCTTCCTCCATCAATATCTGCCTTAGTGTCTCCGATATCTTCTTCGTAGCCTCCCCATGAGTCTGAGTCATCAACCTCGTCTTCAGCACATCAAGAGGAGTGGTCAGCGATGCAGATATCCCCCCAGCTAATGCACCGCAAACAACACTCTGTGCTGGCTCAAGATACGCATTTCCCGTCGTCCTCAACACGAAGCCCTTCAAGTACTCAAACGATGAGTAACTCAAAATCCCAGCGGGGAGATTGCGTAGCAAAGTGGCAGAGTAGCCAGTGTACAGCCCCATAATGCCATCTTTCTCAAGGATCCTAAGAAGAACCTCCCAAGATCGGCCAGCTGCGCCAGTCTGCATTCGTTGGGTGATAAGCTCCTTGGGGACCATGATGGCAGAGGAGACTATGTTGCCCATGGCGCCGGCGGTCGGCGGGATGAGAAGGAGGGGATAGAAAGAGAATTTGGAGAGAAAGGATTTGCCGAACTCGCAGGTACCAAAATAGACAGCCGAGGACGAAGCAGAGCCGACGAGAACAGCGGAGACTCCACGGTAGAAGCCGAGGAGACCGTGGGTGCGAAAGGTCTGGAAAGCTGCATCGAGGGCGCCGGAGTATATCTGAGCAGCGCCGCGAGTCTGGAGTTTGGTCTTGATGGTGTCGATCGGGAGCAGGCAAACGTAGGTGAACGCACCGGCGATAGCACCGGCGGAAGCACCGATGAAGGCGCGTTCCAAGACGGAGAGGGAGCTGTGGAGGGAACGAGAAGGAGGAAAGGAGGTGGAGGAACGGAGTTGAAGCCATTGGGGGCTGAATTTCAGGGAGGAGGAGAAGAAATTGGGGGTGGGCTCTCTTCTCTTAGTGGGAGCTGTGTTGAAATAGGGCTTCGGATGGGAGCAGAGGAGAAGGGAGTTGATATTAAGAAAGATGGAGTTGAAATCTTCCGGGAGTTCGCCGGAGGAATAAGAGAGCTGAAGGTCCATCGCATAGAATTTGCTCGGCCTGAATTCGGGGTTAGATTGGAAAAATTGATAAAGGACATTTGGTTAGAAATTAATTTCGAATTTCAGGAGCCGTTGGATCACTTTTTTTGTTATTTGTGTTTTAATTTGAATTAAAATATATTTTGTTGGGAAAATTATTTTTTCAAAATTCAAAGTAGTTTTAGATATTTTGAATAATAAAAAAATAAGTTAATTTGATTTTGAAAATAAAAAATAAAAATACTTTAAAATTATGTTAATCAAATATATTTTCTTTTATTTGTTTTTTTTATTTGATTTTATTATTTATGAATTTTGAAATGTTCAATTTTTAAATGTATTGTATAAGAACAATGCAAATATTGGCCCTTTAATTAGGTAAAATTGTTTAACTTTATTTAAATAATTTTAACTAATTTTTTAATTTTTGGTTAGGTGACTCAATCACATATTTATAAATTAAAATACATGTGTTATTAATTGATGAAAATTATTTGATTCCTAATGTTTTTTACTATCATACTTCATAGAGTCTCACGTATGACACTCATAAATATGAGCACTTCATAGTAAGATGTGATTAAATTTGGAAAGATGTTAGCTTCAATAATATATAATAGTGGAAAATTCACCATAGACATGGAAAGGATGATTCATCTGAAATGTGTCATGGATGTTATGGTTTTATTCAGTTTTATCAAAAAATTAATTTTGTGATGTTATAGTTGTTGTGAATGCATTTATCTTATGATTATTTGGTTTAATATAATGATATTACTATGATTTAATAGATGTCATACAATGACATAATGCTTCTCATTATGATATGTCTACATATAAATTGAATATATTCGAATATAATTGAATCTTGCTTAAATCATATTTGAACATTATTCAAGTGAGGCTCAAATGATATTCATATATGATTTGACTAAGGTTTAATCATGATTAACACGGTTCAAATATGGTTAGAGCGATGTTTGAACTTCTTTTTTTTTAGCATGATTTGAATTTGTTCTATTAGAGAAAGAAATAATAATAGAACCAGAAATAATAATAGAATTGGTTCGAGCACAATTTGAACATGTTTACAAGAGGTTTAGGTAGTGTTTGACCAAAGTACTAGGTATTTGGTTATATTAAGCACAATCTGAATTTTATTTGCACATGGCTGCAAGTGTGTATCGCTTAAGAAAATTGTCATAAAATATTCTTAAAAAGCTTTAAAATTTAACTACCAAATATTTTTAGAATAATAAAAAGAATGAAGTATAAACCATGATGAAGTTGGTGGGCAATAAACATACATATGAGTGATGAATATCTCACTAAAAAAGAAAAGCGTGATTGTAATTTATTAGTAAGATGTGTCATCAAGAAATTTTTATCATCTGGCAGTAATTCCGAGGTATTTTTAGCAAGAAATGATCCGGATTCAAATTCAAGATCATCCAGGTTCTCACTTTTCACAAGTTTATAGCCCATTGTCCGCCTCGATAAGATGAACCAAATGATACAAGAATTGGTTTGATATGACTCAATCAAGCAATTAAAGCATATTTGGAGGTTTTGAATCTTCAATAGAATTGTCAAATAAAGTTCAACTTTGACATATTTATAGTCAAATTGAGAGTCTCAGCAAGAAAAGTTCAATGAGCCCAAACTCGCTTAATTTTGAGGTCATTAAACTCTCAAATTATTAAAAAAAACATATAATCAAAGTGGATCAATATGAGTCTTCTAATCATGTGGTTGTGAATTTATTTGCCAAAAAGATAAAATGACCCTTCCTCAAAGAATATAAATATACATTCTCTCTTCACTTGAGAAGGGAGCAAAAGAGGATGAATTCCTAAGTCTGTTCTGGACTGAAGACCAGACGATAACCTCCAACATTCATAGTCGCTAGCCATCATTGACAATCGGTCATTGCCTGTCAATCATTTTTGACAACCGTTGGCCGCCCCTACTTGTTGTCATCAACAACCCCTACTTGTGACGTCATATCCTAAATATGACTGTAGCTTATCACGCCATATTGAAAACCCGATGATAACTTCTGACCTCTATAGCCTCCGACCATTGTCTATCGCCGCCTGTCAGTCGTCATTGACCATCATCGGTCGTCCCTACTCATTGCCATTAGAAACCCCTGATTGCTAAAATTTTATCCTAAATATGATTATAACAAATAATGTTGTATTGGAGCCTGACAATAACTTCTGGCTTACGTAGTTGTGACATATTGTTTGTTAGTTATCGTAAACTATCATTGCCCACCTCTACTCCCCGTCATTGGTGACACCTGCTTCCTAATGTCATACCTCAAATACAGTTGTAATGAACTACATTGAATTGAAGACACATCAATAACTTCCAGCCTTCGCAGACCCTGAACACTGTTGACCACTATCTATTGGTCGTCATTGACTCTGCTCACCTTCTTCAGTGGCCTCTGCTTGCTAACATTGCATCCTAAATATGATAGAAACATATATCTTTGTATTGAAAACCTAATGATAATCTTTGGCCTCTACAGTCGCTGACCACTGTCGACCACCACCAACCATCACCACGTATCACCACCGTCTACTAGCTACTGACACCCACTGCTTCCAACCGTCGTCGCCAGAATATGGTGGTTGTATTTAACACTTCTATCTTTCTCTGTGTTGTATACTAACAAATACAATGTCTAGTGTAAATTTATAATCCTGTTCTCATAAGGGGTTCAAACACCGATTACGACATATATGACTAACCACCACTACAACTTTTAACTATGACATTTATGGTGAAATGATGCTATTGTAGCTCCAAACTATAACCTATGTGACCAATTACTACTACAACGTTTAACTATAGCATATGTGATCAACTAAGAATATTGCATTCAACAACTACAACCTATGTGACCAATTACTATTGTTACAACTTCTAACAACGACCTTTATGACCAACTAACGCTATAGCAATCACTAACTACATTCTATGTGGGCAACTGATGATATTATAGTCACTAAATACAACCTATTTGGCCAAATACTACTATATATTTCAACCATAACCTCTGTGACCAACTGACATTATTGTAGTTCCCAATTACAACCTATGTGGTCAAATAATGATATTGCAGTCACCAACTATGACCTATGTAACCAACTACTACTATTATAACTTTTGCCTCTATGGCCAAATGATACTATTGTAGCCATCAACCGCGACATATGTAGCTAACTGACGATACTGAAATCACCAGCTACAACCTATATAGCTAATTACTTTTAAAACAACTTTCAACTACAACATCTATAACCAACTAATGATCTTGTAGCTTCTAACTATAGCTTTTGTAACCAACTACTTTATGTGCAGAAACAAACTGCGACCTTTGTGGCGGACTAATAATATTACAATTTTTAACTGCAACCTCTATGATCAATTAGGGGTGTCAGTTTAGGTCAAAGGGTCGGAATTGAGTCAAACTAAAAACTGATCTGACCTAAACTTGACCGGAATATTATAAGGGTTAAGAATCTCAACCCAAACACGACCCGCCTTCAACCCACTAACTCAAATCCAACTCGTTTAACATAAGAAATAAAATTGTTTAGGTTTAAACGGGGTCATTTTTAGTCAATTTTGGGTTGGTGGGTTGATTTTAAGTCAATTTAGAGTTGAAAGGTCATTTTTAGTCATTTTTTGAGTTGGTAGGTCAACTCAAACCTGACTCAAAAAAATTCAATGAGTTGGATGTTAAACACAAACCAGGCTAAAAGATTTATTCAGTTTATCCCAAAGCGTGTTGCATTAATTTTTTATTATAACAATGTTTTGAGAGAAGGGTCCAATCATCGACTACGACCTATGTAGTCAACTACTACTATAACTTCCAACTACAATTTTTTTAGCCAACTAACACTATTGCAACCCACAACTACAATCTATATGACCAATTACTACAATAATTTCTAACTACAGCATATTTGGCAAATTAACAATATTGCAGTTGCCAACTATGGTAGATGTGGTCAAATACTATTGTTACAACTTCGAACTATGACCTTTATAGTAACCGACACAATTGTAACCACCAACTACGATTTATATTGCCAACTGATAATATTGCAGTTGCTAACTACGACCTCTATGACCAACTACAACTATAAATTTTAACTATGATATTTATGGTCACTTATGTTATTACATTCACCAACTTCAATTTGTGCGACCAATTGACAATATCACAATCACCAAATATGGCTTTTGTGGCCAACTCTAATTGCTACAACTTTCAAATACGACCTTAATGGCCAACTAATATTATTGCAATCACCAACTACAACATATGTAACCAACAACCACTAATACAACTTCCAACTACAAACTGTGTGCCAACTAACACTATCACAGTCACCAACTACAACCTATGTGGTCAACGAATGAAATTGTAACCTTCAACTGTGACCTTTATGACCAATAGTATTTGTGCAGCAACCAACTACCATCATTGTGATCGACCACTACTATTATAATTGTCACCTGTAGCACCTGTGGCCAACAACTACTATTATATCCAAGAACCATATTTATTGTAGCTCAATTATGACTATTATAATTGAACTATTATTATACATTTATAATATTAACATTGTAATTCAATTTCCTCTAATTCATGAGAAGAATGAACTTATGTATTTACAAATACATAGTGGATTAGTTTGAATGGGAAATACTTATAAATATTTATAATGTTAGCATTGTAATTCCACCTTCTTTAAATTAACTTTAAACAATCTTTGTTTTTTGTATATAATTTTTCTGAGATCTTCATGAGAAATACTTCTTTCTGTTATCAATCTTTTGCTCCATTTTTTATAAATGTCGAATCAAATTACTTATCTTCTTTCTACTATCCACTATATAATTTAAAAATGCAATGCTTACTTTACCTTTAAAAAATAATTAGTCAACAATTATAATCATTATTTTAAAAATATATATATATTCAAATCATATTCAAAATATGATCAAATCATG